TTGTATGACCTCATTAATTTAGCATAAACCTGACTCTAGTACTAACATTTACAGTTTGGTACATAAAGGTCACAGATTCTCAACACCATGCTTTTCTTGTATATTGACAGAGCCTAAACTAAGCCATGATTTTATAATGAGGGCAGCCCAGTTATTGTGGGTTGTGCAGTGTAAGTATGACTGTAGATAAGCCAGGACATGGTTTCTAAAACGATTAGTATCCATGGCCAGAATAAGCATAATCTTAACGGGCCAATGAAGCCCGGGCATTCTCTATAGTAGTCTGAGGAGCAATGAAGTATTTAGTCGCATGTGGTGGTAAAATGATAAGTAACGAAAATAAAACAAATCCTTCGGCAGTATTGGTTACTTTTATGAATCCCTAACAAATATTTTACTGAAATTTAACATAATATTCTCTGAATGCAGTTTATCAGCAGACTGTTTTCGTTCATGTTCACAAAGAAAAAGGGACTACAGTGGCGTTCACGTTAGAGATCTCGGCACGTGCTGAGACTCGGGACCGAGTCGGCACGTGCCGAAAATTGTGTGTGAACGGTCGGGACCGAGTCGGCACGTGCCGAAAAGAACTCGATCTCAGTCCCGATGGATGCTTGGGACCGAAACTCGGCACGTGTCGAGATTTGCTGCCTGAACACTCGGCACGAGCCGAAATCACGCCCTCGGTGGTAAATTTAAGAAAAACATAAGTTGATTGATACTAGCATGAAATGACGATGACAGGAAATTCGGATATACTAGTAGATGGTCGGATGCTGTAGTAATGAATGCAAACCGTCATCAGCGACGCATATTTATGTGCTGCTACAACCTCTATTTTCTTGCACTTTTTACATTGACGTGAAACAAATAATTGTGTTTCGAATCTTCTCTGCCGTTCATGTGCACGATGGCTCGTTATAAACACCATTGCAACAAATGGATATAATTTCAGTATAACAATTATTATTATCATCATATGCGTATCGTTTTCCATGTTTGGGCCAACAGATCGACGAATGAGAGCGTGATTTCGGCACGAGCCCAGTCGGTCCTAAGTGGGTCCTGAATAACGTGAACACAACTGCTGTAATCCCTCTGCAAACACAACTGATTAAAAATTTCGGCACGTGCCGAGATCCCGTAACGTGAACGTAGTATACATGTATGTAAACAAAGTTCACAGCAATATTATAGAATAATAATACTGTGATAGCGGTAAGTAGTTTACTTTGCAAATTGTAAGTTTAAAAGTTGTAATTTGAAGGGTTCCAGCATATCTAATATCAATCTAGTATAGATCTGAAAACTTGATAATTATCAGAGAATTCCCGATCTTATAAAGCTGAACTATGACCCAAGACCCAACTTGTTTCGTTTCGATCAAACACCTGATAATTATCGGGGAATTCCCGATCTCGGAAATATTGACTATAAACCAAGCCCCGCCTGTCTAATATCGATCTAAAAACTTTATAAATTATCAGAGAATTCCCGATGCCAGAAACCTTGACCATGGCCCAAGTTCCAGCCTGTTAACATCTACACAATCGATAATTATCGGAGATTTCTTGCTTGATCTCGGATATTTTGACAAGTCTCAGCCTGTTTAATATCAATTAAAAAATTCAATATAGACAATAATTATCGGAGAATTTCCGATCTTAGAATTGTGATAGGTATTTTTGATGGTTAAAAACCTTTCACTTAGGTAACCGGGATTCGGTCGTTTCCACGCTAGGCTGACAAAAGACACACACAAGCTTCGTTCATGTTCCCAAACGATTTTCTGCCAAGTCCCTGGTTTTCACCCGAGACCGCATTAAATCACTCTTTATTTCTTGTCACTCCTTAACCAATTACAATCAGTATAAGAGACTCCAAGGCCTTGCCTTCAAACAAACAACCAATCACATGAAAGTTTTACACATCATAATCAATTAATTACTCATCAAGCTGTCTAGAAAAACACTACTATATATTGTCAACACTAACTAATATTTATGAGGTAATAGTCTTGCACTAACATTCCACAAAGATACCGCCTTAGTTAGAATCGCAACCAAAATTGGTTTAGGATTACAGCTACTGTATTGTATCTTAAAAACTGCAGAGTCATAAGATGTTTTTGGTTGATTTCGACCAGCTCGCCATCTGGTCTTGTCATTAACCTTTATCAGTATATGTCATGGCAACCACTGTCAAACTGACTGAAATATAAATCATGACAGAATTGTCGATTATGACCCAACCTGACTAAAATCGATAAAAAAAACTTGACAATAACTCATAACCTTTGGAGAATTCATGATTTAGACATACTGAGCGTCTAGTAGTTCGCCTATCGGATACACCATGTGGATTTTATGTGCGTGTACCTTACTGTCCGATTAATTCACCGTCCCCTGCATACAAAGCATTGAATCAAATAAACGAATGCAGCTTTTTAGCATGTTTCTAATTTAACACTTACCCGGTATGCAGTTGTGTGATAGATAGATAAATAAAAAGAGAACTATTTTAGTAATTGAAATAGTAAAAGAAATATTGAACGTGATATTTTGTTTTGTTTTTCTAAGAAATAAAATGAAAGTTTCATTTACCGTAAAAAAAAAGTTTGTGTACATTTTACAGATAAAGCAAATTCCTAATTACATTTTACATTTTTATGATATATTTGATAATTTGTGTTTAAGAATCAAAATTGGAAATTGCATAAGAATTACGACATTTAATGTGGAAATGCTTTATACGCTTACAAAAAATAAGATCTTTGTACAAATTACGGACGAATAAAATAGCTGATTACATTTTACACCTTGCCCATGTCTACAAATTTACGTTTTTTATTTATTTAAATTACATTATTACGAAAATAAAAATAATTGCTGTGAACCTCTGTCAGAGGCGGCGACACGAAATGTTGCATGATGGGGCGAAATCTGCTCACTAACCTTGCGCCTAAGGTCCGGGCCCGGCGGTGGCACTCGTGCGGTATATGGGTGCACATGCTTGTTTCCCATTTTCAAAAAATGTCCCCTTTCTTAGATAATTTCTCATAAAATTACTAAATCTGGAAGAAATTTCAAGTAAAAAAACATATCCCTTTTTTCCAAAATCAGGGAGCTTGTATTTATTTACCTTACACTATGTGTGCACATTTTAGAAGTCATAAACAATATTTGTTTTTACATACAAACAAATCAGTAATATGAAACAAAATAAATATAAAACAGTGTTAAAATATTATGACATTTATTACCATTCTTAAAGGGCGGCAGTCGTCGCGCCGCGTCCTGTTCGATATGGGACTCATACAACGCGTGTAAAATACATTGTTAATTTACATGAAATTCGAACACGCGCTGCGCGACGACCGCCGCGCTTTAAATATAATACGAGTACTGATCATCCCCAGGTTAAAACTACCGGTACTCAAGGTTCACAGCGCCCTCACAGCGCCGTCTATATATCATCAAAGCCATAGATTCCCGGGCACTGATTTCATCACAACATTGAAACCATCTTTATAGGAACAAAGATTTGAACAACTTTACATAAATTACAATGCCCATATGAGTATACTATATATACTGTCTGTAAGGTGCATTTTAATATAGTATACTTTTATTTATTTATTTATTTATTAACACACAACATTCCCCGGAGGGGATGAAAAGGGTTACAAATCAGATATTAGTAAAAGAAAAATAACTACATAAAAAGTAAGGGAACAAAAAAAGCATTAAAAAAAGATAAAAAATTGTATACAAGGAATGTGTTACTGGCTTAGTTTATGTAGGTGCTGCTGTCTTGTATTAAAACAGTTTTTTTTTAAATATTGCGCAGCCACAGTCCCGGGATAGAGGTACTGTAGCCCTGCGTACAGTGCTGTGTGTACGGGGACGCGTTTGGTTGATAGATGTCCCCACCACAGCCCTGCGTACCTCCATAGACAAAGTCCGGGAGCGCACCGTAATTGGTGCGCAAGTTAAAAATAACTTTTAATAAGTAGTTTCCCAGCCGAAATCGGTTGAAATGGCAATAGTTATCCGTAACAAGCATTACAAAGTTATCTGAAACTGAAATGTTCTTTAAATAACAACTAGTAAAGACGGACAAATTGTAAACCGGAGGAATTATCCACCAAACGCCGCCATTTTTAATTTCATTCACGCGAGAGACTGAATGCGTTTGTTCTTAGGGCAAAGTAGCCGATTTCATCCACAACAGGACTCCGAACTGGGAGTTCTAGATATATCTGGTAATCGATCATCATTTTTGGTACCTGGGCATGTTATTTCATTAAAAAAGTTATATTTTTTCAAAGTCCCGGACTTTGTCTATGGAGGTACGCAGGGCTGTGGTGGGGACATCTATCAACCGAACGTGTCCCCGTACACACAGCACTGTACGCAGGGCTAGAGGGACTGTGATACAGCTAAGTTACCCGTTTGAAAGGGTATTGACCCCATATTGTCTCCAGGGCATTCATTCTCCCGGCTTTGCATTTATAGTTTTAAATGAGCCCCCCCCCCTCTTTCGCGATGTGTTCACATAAACCATGGAACTATAGTTCCATGCATAAACATAGTTTTATGTTGTCCTTGCACCCGGAAACACTATTTGCTTTTCAAATCTCCAATAAATCACTAAAACCTAGACACACCGCGACCTGCACGGTCACCTTGGCCCCGGATCATGACCTCAAACCATCACGTGGTCTACTAGTGGGTCACACCTCCGCGTTGCCTATTCACTTGCCATGTCAAAATATCAATACCTTCGTTAACAAAATACTGATATCAAAATGTCAAGTAGACTGGCAATGTATTATTTACACATAAAATTGTTATTCTTATTGCTTATGTCAGAATATATTTTCAGTTAATTATTGATAAAAACGTCCGAAACAAGATAACGAACATAAAAAAAGTAGTCCGTTGCGGAAGGAAATTTAATTTATGCAAATTTAGACCGCAGTATTCCTTATCTTTGTCGCTATAACTCGTTTGACACCATTGTGGCACTCGTTCGTAGTCTGTGTCGTAACAGTCGTGTGACGGCATTTTACTTCGTCTCGTCATATATACAATCTCGCCGTAACCATGCCGTCATTAGCTGTGAATATTTTGCGGTAAGTACATCGCTTTTTTAGCGTATACTAATTGTTCAGTAGTCTCTGCATGCAGAAAACCCGGGGTCAAATGCCTACGTGTGTGCGCTAGTTCCAAGCAGAACGGCCTGTGTTTCAAGAAATTCGTACTGTATGTTCACTGAATTACTCGTGTACGAAATCTCGCAACGCTTATATGATATCGAAAAATTAAATGTAATTTTTTGCTTGCTCCGTATGGTAAAATCCTAGCAATGTGAAGGATGAACTATTCCATGTGCACCAGGCGTCCTTGATTGTCGATGGAAAATTTTAACCTCGGTTTTTTAATATTATGAACCTACACAAATAGACGCCGAATGTTACTCTATTTAATGTTTTTATCGGTTTTTGTTCAATATTTTAAGTTAATGACATTTTTGCATTTTTAGAATTATTTTCGAGCAAAAATGTTCACAAAAAATAGTTGTCTGCTAATGTGCTGTGATCGCGCCATAGGGGTCATGCATAGGTCATTAGTGAAATTGATTTCAGTGAATGTCGGGAGTCAATGTGAAGCTGAAATGGCGTTGCTATAGCTCATCTGTCGTTGGAGAGAACAGAAATTACATGTAGATTGTATAATGGCTACTTTTCTTTGAAATGAGTTATGTCTGGTCTAAATAAGTTGTTTTTTACAGCAGGTCTCAAAACGAACTAGCTCACTAATTTGCTAACTAACCGGTACTTCGGTGTTCACTAAAGCGCATGACCTACAATTCAAATATTACCCTTCATTCTATCGTCACCAAATACTAGTAGTCTCTATAAAACATTTTAAATAAGTTTGTGGTTTTACAAGACTGCGAAGTACGCAAAATTATTTCTGTTGCCAGTGTTGGTCAAATCTGCTTTGGTCAGAACAAGTTGTGGCAAATTAGTGAGCAAGTTTGCTAACTTGCTTCCCCAATACTTCTGAGAGTTGCTGTTATTATGCAGCATACAATAAATGCAATCTTTGGCACTTGTAGAAGTTGCAGTGTATAGATTGCTTTGGTGTGTGCGTGCATGAACTGAACAAGCTTGATGACAGTGTACTTTCAAACTTAAAGCTAAGAATGTAAGAGTTGGACTGCAAAGATGACTAAATTTTTCTACTTTTTATATTCAGGCGGTCGACCGGGCTCATCAAGACAGCCTTGGCCAACAACCATAGACTTTTCAAAATGCCTGGTACTATGTGTAACTATGCCAGGGCATTTTCAGTAGTACATGGTAATCTGGACAACTTGCAACCTTCAGTCAGAAAGTTTATTGTCGATAGTGCCAACCTGTGCCAACCTGACAAAGTCCATATTTTGGATGGTTCTGTTGAAGAGAATAAAAAACTTACAAAGGAACTTGTTGAAATGGGAGTTTTAAGGCCAATACGCAAGTACGAAAATAAGTAAGTACTCTATGCATATTTTTTTCTTAAAATCCCTTTGATCTAGGATTTGCTAGTCTGCAGAAGGTTCACTTGTGTAAAGTGTAGTTATACTTTAAATGTAGCTTGGAGTACATAATTCGTGATGTGTCCTTTTGAAATGCCTTAAGATATGCAAATTTTCTTTTTCATTGCTTTATTTATGATAATTTGATTCACACGAATGAAAATAACATCAAATATCTGACACCATTTTTTTTTTTTAAGTTATCTGTGCTTGACTGATCCAAAAGATGTTGCTCGTGTGGAAAGCAAAACACTTATATCAACTCCTAGTGAGAGGGAGACGAGACCCATTACTGCACCTGGAGTGAAAGGAAAGCTTGGCCAATGGTTTTCTCCAAAAGATCTTGAAAATGCTGTTCAAGAAAGATTTCCTGGCTGCATGAAAGGCAAGTTTTCTTATATTTAACGTGTTGGTTACTGCACATGTTGTGGGTAGTATATATATATATATATATATGCTTTGTCAGATGGCATGTACTTAAAATTCTTTCAGTTTTTGATTTTTCATGGAACCTTAATTATTTGTATGGTACAGTTGGTTTTAGTAAGTCATTCCATGCGTGTAATTTATTTCATTGCTGATTTGTATGTGAATTCATATTTTCAGCTGTTTTGAATAGTTTTCCCAGATTGAAATATTCTGGAATAAAAGGAGTTCTCATTTCTGCATTAGTCGTTGTGTGAACTGTTCCTTTGGTTTGTCCCAGAGAATAAAATTGCATGTTCCAAGGCATTGGGAAACAAATTATTTTACAACATTTGCATTCATTGCTCCTAACATGGTGGATGTGTTTTATACTTTAACAATACTTTAATGTTTGCAGGTCGTACTATGTATGTGATTCCATTCAGTATGGGACCAGTCGGATCACCTTTGTCTAAGATTGGTATTGAGATCACAGACTCTTCGTATGTTGCTGTTAATATGTATATAATGACGAGGGTTGGTGGCAAAGTATTAGATGTCCTTGGAGATGGTGAATTTGTCAAGTGTTTACATTCCGTGGGTCAACCATTACCTATGGAGAGTAAGTAAATGTACTTTGTAATATCTATAGATAGAAAATGGAACTTGTTAACAATTCATACATGTTAAATATTAAACTGCAATAAAAAGTGTTTTATTATAACCTCCTTAAGGTTGTTGAATAACTTTCAGAGATTTATGATGCGGTTTCAGAACAATAAACATTGCACGTAATTTTTTTTCCAAAACGAGACAATGATCTTATCTGTGTTTATTGCACCATTGCCTACACACCTTTATTGTAAAAACAGCCAATTGTTTTGAATTGAGGAAAACGTAAGCTTCCAGTAAAGCATTTATCTAAAACTCTATCTGTTTTTTTTCCAGAACCTGCTGTCAACAACTGGCCTTGCAATCCAGAAAAAACAATGATTGCTCATCGCCCTGCTTCAAGGGAAATTATATCATTCGGTAGTGGATATGGTGGAAATTCGCTGCTTGGCAAGAAATGCTTTGCTCTACGAATTGCTAGCTGTATTGCTAGAGATGAAGGATGGTTAGCTGAACACATGTTGGTATGTCATTGAATATGTGAAAAAGAAAAATATTTTGACTGTTTGATATGCAGCATGGTTTTCAAGTGTTTGTTTTCCCACACAGAAAAAAAAATAATTAAGGTCTGACAAGTGCTCTCGTGTGTGTCGTACTTTTAATGACTTGTATTGTCATCCTGTAGATTCTTGGTATTACCAATCCCCAAGGAGTGAAAAGATACGTCTGTGCTGCTTTCCCAAGTGCTTGTGGCAAGACAAACTTGGCTATGATGAACCCTACCATACCTGGCTATAAAGTAGAATGTGTTGGTGATGACATTGCATGGTTGAAATTTGACAAGAATGGTGTATTGCGTGCCATTAACCCAGAGAGTGGATTCTTTGGTGTGGCGCCCGGCACTTCGAATAAAACAAACCCAATGGCTATGGCAACTATTAAAAAAAATACCATCTTCACCAACATTGCCGTCACCGATGATGGTGATATCTTTTGGGAAGGCTTGGAAGATCAAACCCCAAAGGTAAAATTCATTATTGCTAATTCCCATAACTTTTGTAAACCAGTTTAATTTTGTGAGACAATTGAAAATAAACATTTCATAGAGGTCCTAGAAACGGCAAGTTGTACGACTTTTTTAGCTCCGCTGTCGACTTTGTCGAGCGTAGCTTATCATAAGAGTGATTGTCCGTGTCAATGTTTTACTTTTTCGACTTCTTCTTGAAAACTACAAGCCTGAATGCTTTGATACTTGGTGTATATGTACCTTGGGTAGACCTCTCTTAGGTTTGTTCATTTCATGTTATCTTCAATTCTCTAATTTTGGTGAATATTTTTGTCATTTTTGGTAGAAAGTGATATTTTCGACTTCTTGTTAAAAACTGTAAGTCAGATTGCTTTGATACTGTACATATTGTTCATTTTCTGATGTCTTCAGTTCTTTAATTGAAATGTGCATTTCTAACAGCGGAGCTATCTCAGCCGATAGGCTGCTTGTTTAATTGGTATATTCCTTAAACCTGAATAATGCATCATTAGATATAAATTTACCAATTAAAAGTTAAAATACTTGACATAACAGGATGCCAAGATCACTTCCTGGTTGCATCATGAAAACTGGCACAAGGATATGAAGAATGCTGAAGGCAAACCTATTGCAGCAGCTCATCCCAACTCCAGATTCTGTACACCAGCCAAACAGTGTCCCATAATTGATCCTCAGTGGGAGAGTTCTGAAGGTGTGCCCATCTCTGCATTCATATTTGGTGGGCGTAGACCACAAGGTAAGTACACATGTGCTTGAAATTGTATCATTTTGCATGAAGACAAACTATGTTCACTCATGATAATCAATATTGTAAATAGAATAATTATTAAATCTTTATAAAATTCATACATCAAATGTAACAAGCTGGTAGGTTGTTTAACAATCCACTCAGTTTTTGGCTGTTGCCATGGCAGGACGTGTACGTGAAGCTAACATCTACTTACAACTAAAACCGTATTAGAGTTTGAAAAGAGCATTCAGAAGTTACTTTATTCCTAGCACGTATTTTGTGCTATAATTATTTCCCAATAGTTATTTTCTAGATTCTTTGATTGATTGAACACAACATATACAGTTAATTCAAAGTTCAAACTTGCATTAGGACCAGTGTTGATACAGTTTACCAATAGCCAAAATAAAAAGCATGATCTTTTGAACTCTATTACAAAACTGGTATGAGGTAAAAAACGCTTTATGAATGTTTTCAGTCTCTAAAAAAATAAATTCAGTAGACTAGAGTAGCTGAGGCATATATACACGTTTACAATACAGAGCAAAGAACTTGGAATACGAATGTGTTGGATGGAAGCACTATAACCATCCTATTGTTCAAGCACATCAAATGTAGGGTTTTTGCAGGATACAAACTTGCAGTACCAGGGATGGCCCAGCATCAGACAACATTTACATTCCCATTACATGGGAAGGTAAATACTAATGTCAAATCAAAGTGGGTAGGTCATCACTCAGATTGTAGTGTTAAATGCTGCACAAGTAAAACTGTACAATGTCTTTTCTCTCTACAAATCAATGTTTTCTAGACCAGGTTGAAGGCTTTATCGCAAATTTATCATTGTTTTTATTAGGTGTTCCATTGGTATATGAAGCCCTTGACTGGAAGCATGGCGTTTACATTGGTGCATCAGTGAGGTCAGAAGCTACTGCAGCTGCAGAACATGCAGGTATATAAATTCATACATTATTTAAAACTTTTGATAGCAGAGCACCATGTTTGGCCGGTAATTATATTCTTGCTATAAGGTCATGTCTGTTGAGCAGAGCTTATCATATGAGTGATTGTCCGTCGTCGTCTGTGTCAATGTTGTACTTTTTCGACTTCTTCTTGAAAACTACAAGCCTGAATGCTTTGATACTTGTTGTACATGTACCTTGGGTAGACCTCTCTCAGATTTGTTCATTTCGTGATGATATCTTCAATTCTCTAATTTTGGTGAATATTTTTGTAATTTTTGGTAAAAAGTGATATTTTCGACTTCTTGTTGAAAACCGCAAGTCCGATTGTTTTCATTTTACATATATAGGTACATGTGGACTTCTTTCAGACTTGTTAATTTTGTGATGATATCTTCAATTCTCAAATTTTGATGAATATACTATATATTACTATACATTGTTCATTTTCTAATATCCTCTGTTCTTTAATTGAAATGTGCATTGCTAACAGCGGAGCTATCTCAGCTGACAGCCTTCCTGTCTGTACTTACAGAAGTGAAAGTTTAATATCCATCAGAATTTCTAGCAAACGGCAAAAGAATGCAACGTAAAATCGGAAATAAGACAGTTCTTTTAGATTAAAACCCACAATGAGTTTCTGGCTTTGAATCTAAATCTAGTAACTTTGATAGAAGGAGATTCACTAAACTTGCACATTCGTAAAAAGTCTGTTCGTTTAGTATTATTGCATTTAGAACTAGTCTAATTGTGAAAGTACAGGTTACTCTGTTGAATATTCATTTTCATTTAGATATTAGTCTCCAGTCATGTTATGTAACCATTTGTTTAAATTAACAAGACGACAAACCGTAACAAAATGGACTTGGATAGCTAGGCACATCTGATACATGTTGGGTCACTCATGGTGAACAATCACCTGCTTAGCTCGCTCAGTCAGTCAGTCAGTCAGTCAGTCAGTCAGTAGTATGATCACTGCACTGATCTGAAGAAAACAAAGTTCATCATGGGAGGTGTGCATGTAAATTTTAGAGTTCTTGAACTCCGGTTCTAAAGTATGGTTTTTAATACTTAAAATTTATCATTTTAGGTAAAGAAGTGATGCATGATCCATTCGCTATGAGACCATTCTTTGGTTACAACTTTGGTGACTATCTGAAACATTGGTTGAGTTTTGAAAAGAAAAAAGAACTTAAGCTACCTAAAGTTTTTCACGTCAACTGGTTCCGTAAAGATAAGAACAACAAGTTCTTGTGGCCAGGCTTTGGTGAGAATTCTCGTGTCCTGGATTGGATCATTCGTAGATGTGAAGGTGAAGACATTGCTGAGAAGAGTGCTATTGGTTACCTTCCAAAGAAAGGCTCGCTCAACTTGGATGGACTTGAATCAGAAGTGAATTACAAAGAGCTTTTTGACACCCCAAAAGATTTCTGGGAGAAAGAGGTGCAGGAAATCAGGAATTACTTCAATGAGCAAGTGAACGAAGACTTACCAAAAGAAGTTGCTGATGAACTCGCTTCTCTAGAACAACGCGTTTCTAAAATGTAAAGCTTTGGGAGCTTTACTTGTACTGTAACTGAATGAAATCTAGATTTACGAAACGAGTACAGTGTGAGTAAATTAGAATGCAATAAGTACAATGCTTTTAATTTATTAGTATATTTGTTTTGCACAACTGATTTTCAAAAAACCAGAACTTTGTGAAATTTACAATAAAGTATTTTCTTACAATAGCTTTGCCGTTTTTCAATGTTTTTGTTAGTAAATCTGTACTTCATAAAGCAAATGATGTGTATTTTTGTCAGTTTTACATCTCCATTTATCTCATTTCTGTATAAAGTGTAGTGTACATGTTGTAATTTATTAACCACTCTATCTTGTGACTAACATTGACCAATCATCCATTACAATCGAGGCACATTTTGTAATTTGAAAATCAATTGAGACATAGATTGTTATTCTACCAGAGTATATATTAGATGACATTGTGTAGTCTGTTCAGTTTTCTATTGTGAATTGACGTAGTATTGCCAACACTTGCTGAATAAAATTCCTGTTTCACCATTGTAACTCTTGTTTATTAAGTAAAGTGATTTTGGGCTCAGACTATGATTACTTGCATCTGCATGTCTATTTTCTTTTTGTTCAAATGCTTATCTGGTGGCCATTTTGGTCAGCAAAACTGCCCATAAAAATAAAATTGCATTGCAAAATTGTAACATTTTTCTAGCACGCTGTGGCTAATTTTATTCAAACTTCTGACATGACTGGTTTCTAATTTGTTTTGAGATTTGTTTCAAAAATGGCAAACTGCCATGTTGGTATCATTTGTGTTTCTGACAATTTCTCTAATGTACTGTGGCAGATTTTGTTTCAACAATATCTCTGATCCCCGTGGCCCAGTTTAGTTTTAACTAGTACTGTAAAATCTGTATTAGAAGCCGCGGCTTCTATTAAAATGGTACAATGCAATAGAGGGGATGCGGCTTCTATTAGAGCACCTACACATATGAGAAGTGATGAATTTTTAGTTCTCAATTATTCAAAAAGAATGGGTGCGACTTCTATTAGGGATGCGGCTTCTAATACAGATTTTACGGTAGTCCTTATTAGTCCCAGTTCGGACAAAGTCCGAAAACTTAGACTTATAATTCGGCGTGCGTCCGAAGTCGTGTCTCACAATCCATTGGAGCGATTCCGTTCATTCTTTGCATGTGCCTAGTACTTTATGTGGGACATGTGCACATGCAGTGGTTTAGTGATTCGATTCAAAATGGACGACTGGCAGCCATCTTGTTTTTTGAAAATGCTTTGTCAGTTGTCATTCAAACTTGGTACATAGCTTATACATGTTAGAATACATGTCCATGACTATTTATTTCGCAATTGGATCAAAGATGGTCGACTGGCGGGCATCTTGGACGTGCTCTGTCAGTTTTCATTGAAATTTGGCACATACATGTACTTTATACATGTTAGGATGCATGTCCATGACAATTTGTTTCAAAATCTGGTCAAGGATGGCCGATTGACTGCCATCAGAGTTTTTGGCCTTACTACTATATTTCCACAATTTATGTACCATTTTCATTTGTATTGGCACATACATCATAAATATAAGTGTTTCATAATCAGATCAAAGATGGCTGAATAAAGGTCATTTTTATTTTTGACCATATTACTACTACACGGAACACTTGTTTTGATGTAAATAAACAATCTGTTGTATACGCCACTTGGAACTCAAGTTTCAAGGACACGCTCGCGACAACCCTTTAATGACACCGCTTTAATGACTAGCACAAAGAACTTTCAAAAATTTAACAAGGACTGTCATTTTTAGTCCCCGTTCGGACGTAGTCCGAAAACGGGGACTTATGTTTTGTCCTGTGTGTGTCCGTGATCACCTGCATCTCGAACATGCATGGACCGATTAAGTTCAAACTTCACTCGTACATCACACATTATATGAGACATATGCACATGCATTTTTTTCATGATCCGATTAACGAATAGCAGCCATTTTAAGGCCGAAAATGCATCAAAATCACACATTTTCACCATTCCAGACCCGGATCTCAGTTATGCATGGACGGATTTTGTTCAGATTTAGAACAATGTGTTGTACATATGCAGGTGCATTTCGGTCATGATCTGCTTTGAATGTACATGTCACTCAAATATGAATGGAACAGGGACGTGTCATTGACAATGACTTGTTACATGAATTTTTATGCACCAGCATTTTTACATTTCACAAAATTGTTGTGCCTATTTGGTTCTTGTGCAGAAATGAAAGCATTAATGTATGGTGTGAATACTTGTTATCAGATTCAATGTATATTTCTGCTAATATTTGAACATGCCAGTAGTACTTTTTTCGACCGTGAAAATACCAGATCCATGTGGTCTAGCAAATTGTGTCAATGGATGCATGTGTACTTTGATCATTTTAGTTCTATTGTACCTATGTAATTGTACACTTTGGATTCAAATTGGCATATACAAATTGTTACAATCTAGCAGTGTCACTTCAAAACGTACAATATGGTAGAAAACAATCGTCCGAATTGCACAGTTTCGCTAAAGCCGGCAGTCCATTCAAAACGAACCCCGTCCGTGATTGTATTAGGAAAAGCTGCATTTCACTGCAGCGAACTAAATTGAGTCATTGATTGGGTGCACATGAAGCTGGCACCACCAGAGTTGCTGTATCATCAATGTGAAGATCGGGGAGCTCATCACAGATTAAAACAATGTAGGCTTTGCGCTGATTCACATTGAGTCAAGAGTAGGTGGGTGGTCTATATTCGTAGACTAATTTCCAAAATTTCCATTTCCAACTTTGAAAATTGTGGGCAAGTGAATGAGGACGATGGAATGTCTGAATATCTGTGCAAACTAATAAAATATCAATTTGCCCGATTTGGTCTTTACAACAAACTAGTAATTTTCCTCAGATACAGCACTAAGCGCTTTCTTTTGATCAGTAAGCTCATTCAGAGAAAAAGCTAGCAACACGTTTATTTGATTCCGCCATTTTAATTTTAACAAGTAATGTGTAGTTTCGCGAGTTCTGATTGAGTGATGCAAATGAACCGAAGTGAATCTTATCGTTGCCAAGGGTTAATGTTGAGGCTTCGGCCGAATAAATGGTAGAAAACGTGCGAATGTTTGTGGATTTATGTTGGTGATCTTGCATGCCTGGACTGATCATTCAAACTTGACAAGCCTGTCTTGGGGTGCATGTCCATTTCGGACCCAACATGGCCAAATAGTGGCCATTTTAAAGCAACATTATTCAAGCTTCTGTAATCACTGACTTCACGTATGCATATGGGACTTTGATGCACATAATAAATTTATGATATCTCAAGAACCATATGTTGATATTATGTTTCGTTAAAATCTGTGCTTATTAGTCCCCATTCAGACACAGTCCGAAAACGGGGACTTATGTTTTAACCTCTGTGAGTGCGTGCGTCTGTGCGTGCGTCCGGACCTGTATCTTAGAAATGCCTGGACCAATCACAATCAAACTTCACACATACATCATACATGATATTATACATATGTACGTCAATTTGTTTTACGATCTGATTCAAGATGGCCGAATGAAGGCCATTTTTGTGCTAAAAAATCCTAAAAATCAACCATTTCTCGGCTGTTTACAGATGGATTTTGTTCCAACTTGGTATATACATTAGACATTATGGGACCTTGATGCAAATAATTTTGTTTTTCAGATAAGATTCAAAATGGCCGACTGGCGGCCATTTTGTATTAATGAATGTGGTTCTAGTGCCATATCTCTGACTTGCTTTCACTGATTATGTTCAAATTTT